CAAAGAGAGGTGAGCCAATGGAATGAGGAAATCATTGGATAATATCATTGATATCCCATGTGAGTAGTTTTATTAAAGGTAATACAGAAACGGCTACAAGCATACACTGACAGAGAACTTCCAGAAGAGGAGGTGAAACAAAGGATATTGCTGACCTCAGATGGATCTTGCCTGAAAAGTAGAGGACACAAGATGCTTACCTGTGCTTGACTATGTAAGGGCTTTTGATTGTGTGGATCATGACAAACTATGGATAGCACTGCAAAGTATGAGTATTCCAGAGCATTTAATCATGCTCATGAGAAACCTGTACATAGACCAATAGGCAGTTGTGCAAACAGAATAAGGGGGCACTGAATGGTCTAAAATTACAAAAGGTGTGCAATAGGGTTCAAGTCTTTCACCATACTTACTCAATCTGTATCCTGAACAAATAAACCAAGAAACTAGGTTACATGAAAACGTGGCATCAGGATTAGAGGAAGATTCATTAACAACCTGCGAAATACAGCTGATACAACCTTGCTTGCTAAAAGAGGACTTAAAGACAAACTGCATTAGGCAAATCTGCTGCACACTACCTCTTTAAAGTGTTGAAGAGCAGTTTGAGGTCTAAGGTGGGCCTGAAACAAGCCTGCAAATTGTTCTTTAATATTATTTTTTTTTTCTCAAGTCCCTAGTTCACTTAGCATTTATTTAATTTGCAATCATTTAAGAACCCTTGTATTGTTGTTGTTATGTGCCATGGAGTCGGTTCCGACTCACAGCGACCCTGTACAGGGTTTCCAAGGCTGTAAATCTTTACGGGAGCAGAAAGCCTCATCTTTTTTCCAAGAACAGCTGGTAGTTTCAAACTGCTGACCTGGCAGTTCACAGCCTGATTTGTAACCACTACACTACCAGAGCTCCTTTGTATTATTACGGACTTTTTTTTCCCACTGCTGCTATGACTGGGTAAGTAGGTTTTTTGTTTAAGTCGTGAATTGAGTGATAGTTTATATGGGAGAACATTAGCTTTACATTCATCCTATCATATTTCATTTCACTGCAATGATTATAATCCCCTCCATGCATCTTCAATGATTGCTTCCATTCCTTTTTTTTTTTTTTTTTAAATGTACACCGAAGCACTCAGGAATATATAACCATTCAAACAACCAAAGGGTACACCTTGCAAGCCCATCCCCCCGGCCATCAGCACACAGCCCTTCTTCCTCCCAGAGTCCAGAGTCCCTACCTTCATCTCTCCAAGTCATCATATCTGCCTCTATCTCTGGCGTTGCTGCTTCTCTGGATAGGGTCCCGCACTCCGCTCTTCTCCCTTGATGGTTCCAGGGTCCTGCTCCCGGTGTGCAAGATCAACCACCCCCTTCTTTTGTTACCAAACACCTACCTTTACATTTGCAACACTCACAATCAGTCCTGATAGCAATTATTCACTATTTCTTATCCCCATATCTCCTTTCACTAGCTATGTCCAGACAGGTTGGAAACCACTCAGTGGAGAGTCTACCTTCCCCTGCACCCTCTGAAACTAGCCTCCCTCTTGAAAGTTTCTAAGCCAGTCACTTTGTGCCTTTGTAGCTCCCCCATTTTGGGTAGCCAATGTCTAAGTTGCCCATCCCAGTCAACCCTTGTGTACCAAGGGGGTGGGAATGATCCTTGCTGTAAACATGTTTCCTCTTTTGAGCTACCACATCCATAAGTATAGGTCAAGTTCATTAAATTGTAGTGGATTATACTTTTTTCCCTCGTCTTTCTTCCTCTAGTCGTGTTCTGATGATCCAGCCATTAAAGCTAGGTCAAATGGGTACTATCTGCAAGTATGGGTGTTCTTGTGCATCTCCCCTCACTTCATTATCAGCTGGACGCTTCACTCTCCGTTTTAGTCCTCTGTGGCTATGTCTCTGTCCCTGGGCTCAGGTGTCCCCAGGTCTCCTATACTGCTGGCCAACCAGGTTGACAGGAGTCTATTGAACGTGGTAGGACTTAGCTCACAACTTCATTGCTGTTTTTCCCCCACTTCCCCTTATCAGTAGACCAACATAGTCACCAACAAGATTACATGCCTGCTCGTGTATTCCCTTTGAGTCTTGGAAGGGGGTTTGCCCTGATGGGACTTGATTGCTTGCCTTGATGGCTCCCCTGTGAACAACTTGGCAAGCCCTGGTATTTTCAGCAATCTCATATGCATGTGAAAGTTTAACAGCGAATAAGGAAGACTGTAAAGGAATTTACATATTTGACTTATGGTGTTGGGAGAATACTTAAAGTACCATGGACTGCCAAATGAATAAACATATCTGTGTTGGAAGAAGTACAGCCGGTATACTCCTTAGAACCCAGGATGGCCAGACTTCGTCTCTCACACTTCAGACATATTTTCAGACCAGTCCCTGGAGGATATCATGTTTGGTAAAGTGGAGGGTCAGAGAAAAAGAAAAAAACCCCAGTGAGATGGATTGGCACAGTGGCAGCAGTAATGGGCTCAAGCATAGCAACGATTGTGAGGTTGGCCCAGGATTGGGCAGTGTTCCATTCTGTTGTGCGTAGGGTCGCTATGAGTTGTTACCAACTTGATGGCACACAACAACAACGAAACTGTTTGATTTTAAGAATATTTCAGGCGACACTTTTGGTTTAAAGTTTAAAAATTATCCTAGGGCAATAGTTTTAGTGCTTCATCCACCCTCCAAAAAGTGTAGTCTACAGAAATTTAAAATGCTGTTCTGTATTTCTCCCCTTTTGATCAGGAAGGAATGCCTCTATTTTTTTCTTTTTAAAAAGTTTTTATTGTGAAATGGATGAATGTTTACAGAGCAAAATCAGTTTTTCATTCATTGATCCATACACATTTTGTTCCAGGTCAAGGAGTGTAGTCCCCACAATGTAACACCACTTCCTTCCCTGTGTCCTCCATTTCCATTCCTGTTTCTTTTCTAACCTTCCTGCTTTTTGAACCTTGTCCTTGTGCAAATGCTACCCTTTTAATCTCAAATGGTTGGTTTCTGTGAAGAGTGGTACTTCTCTGGTACTATTTACATTATAAACCTTTCAATTAATTGTGTGGCTGAAAATTGAAACCTGGGTGAGTTCCAGGCCTTAAGTGTGACTAAATCTTGGGGGGTGGTTCCATCATTCTCTATCAGACCATCAATCCTAGTCTTCATTATGAGTTTAGTGACACTAAACTATTCAAGACCTTCTAAATGTGATCACAAACGGTCAGAGCGGTGGCAAGGCATCACCTAGTTCTTCAGGTTTCAGGGTCATGGAAGCTTTTTGCATAGTCCATTAGTCTACTGAACTCACTGTTTCCATACATCTTTTGATTCTGCTTTACTGAGCAGGGGGAAAGACCAATAGTTACAATTTATACTAGCTTTTAAGACTGTAGTTGCAACTCACCAAAGTAGGATGGACTCTGTTATACCAATTGATTTTGATATCCTGAAACTAGGCCCAGCGACTCAAGGAATGTTTAGTTGTTAAGAATGATTAATTTCCACATTTAAAATTTAGTGTCCAATATTAATTAATAACTATGTTTTCATATGTCATTCTTAACCTGAACAAATTATTACAAAACCTCAGTCAGTAAGGAATGGATTAATCAAGTGATTATACTGAGATTAATAAAAGACTACTTGCTCAAGGGCTTGTTTTTTCTGGACCCACTTCAATGGTTACTAACTAACCGAGTAACACATGTAAAATTCTATTAGAAATATCTCAACTTACATTCCAATTAGGAAGATATTTAAACCACATAAAAAGGCTGTGTGACTTAACCCAATATAATACATCAGAGAACTCATGAACATTCATAAAATAATCAATTAAATGTATTTTGAGGGCATAATATCTCCTTGAATAAAATGTATTTTGTGATTTGTTTCATTGCAATAAAGCAACAAATAAAATAACAAGCCAGGCTTCATATCAATTAGACAACTTTTACTAAATGAGAAAACTACATTTAAAATGTGCTTTAAAACAAAATGGGATCAGAAAAAAACCAGATGTATGCATTTTAAATAACTTTGCACTGTGCTAAAAATCAAATTATTTCTTGCAGTAAACACAACGCGCCAATTCATAAAATGTTAACAGAATTCTCAATTCAACGTTTTCAACGACAATATTAAGGTCAAGAATTTCACATCAATGGCATCACATGTAGAAGGGCATTATAAATCTGATGTCCATCCCTAGGACACTTACAAATTTGACAATGCTCAATAAAAGCTTTTAGAATCATATCCAAAAAATTACAAATCTGAGTCCTGTAAAGTTCTTGTTCTATTATATAATGCGTGTTGACTTTTCTATTTGCCATTTGTTATATTAACCCTTTTTAAAGAGAGAGAACAGGAAAAGAAATGTTGCAATAAAGTCTTGATCATGTACAGAAATTATTGCTACTATACTTCACTACAAAGCATGTCTATACATCATATGAACTTTGATCATGAAAAACCAGAAGAACAAAAATCTTTAATGACATAGCCTTACAATCGTATACAACATTCACATGGCAATACTAGACAGTTATGCACCCAATAACCAAAGTTAACAAAACATCCCAATGACCAGCTTTCACTTAAATACATCCTTCTTACAAAGGGGAGAAAAAAAGAGATAGTGTCAGCTTTCTAAGGCTTGTCAAAAAAGAATTCTCATGTTCTGTGAATTTAAGAACAACAACAACAAAAACCCAAAAACAAAACCAATGCAGGTGAGGGTGTTACCAGAAAGCTAAGCATGCCAAAAGGTGTGTCGTGCGAATTAAAACCTAAAGCCAAGGTACCACATAATCACATTTCCAACTAGCTGGGTAATACTATATGAGCCTTATCTTAAATGAAATGCTACTGCACAATAGAGCATCAATAAGTTAAAAATTATAGTGCACAAATCCAAATCAGTGGCAATTTCTGTAATAAGCAAAGTATTGACTACCAGCTGCAAAATTTGCCCAGCCAAATTGATTAAATCACTGGATTGGACACTTTACGTATTTTTTAAGCTATCGATCTCTAAAATTCATTTACTTATATCGAGGCATAAATTTTCTTAGGAAGATCGAATAGAAACATAAGTAAAAACAAAGGGAAAATAAATCAGTGACTATCTTTAAAGCTCTTCCCACAGTTCACTTTTAAAAATGGTTAGGGGGGAAAAAAAGTTCAAAAAATATATGCCATTATTCTAGCAAAACAAACAAAACAAACTCAAAATAATTAAACAACCAAGCAACACTAAAACCACATAACAGATGGGTCATCATGCTTTCATGTGGTTTAACTATCACATCTAGTTTAACAGGGATGCTTTTCAACTTTAAAAACTGTGATACATGAAGATGTAACTTCAGTGGATCATTTTAAATTTAGATTTAACTTTGCTGAATATTATAACAGAGTATACTTATTACAATACAGTGTAGCACATCTTTCTATTAGAAAAAAATGTAAGATCCTTTACCCGTCTCCTTAAGTTAAAGGTGTGACATCATAAAGGGTGTCAAATGGCTGGATGGTTTTACAGTGCACACTTAGATATTATGAAGTATGTCCTTAACAAATCTGATGGGGTTTTTTGCAGAATTCCCTTTCTTCACCTTTTCTTCGGTGGATTAGCTGTCCGAGGTGGAGTGACAGGACGTCCAGAATTCAGTCCACCATACTGGTACTTAGCTTTCTTTTCAGATGGTTTCAATATCTTAAAATAAATAATTCATTAACATTGTTATTCTTTCCAGTCCAATAAACTACATAATTGGCTTTCAAAATACTAAGGTTACAATAGTGGGTTCGTTCTTCAATAAATGGCCTAAATTCTTGAAAATCCAATCAAAATGTAAGACAAAATGACCAAGTTCCATAAATATTTCTCACATATGTCGATTCTGACCCATAGCGACCCCATATAGGGTTTCCAAGGAGCAGCTAGTGAGCTTGAACCACTGACCTTGCAGTTCAAACAGCTTTGCAGTCTGATGCATTAACCCACAGCGCCACACCAGGAATCCTAAATGAAATGCTACTGCACATATCATTCCATTCATATTCCAGTCACAGAAGCTCAATTAAATACATGAATCTTATCAACCACTCATTTCTTAGATTTAAGTAAAAATTTCTTCAAATGTCCATCTTCATGCTGAGGAAGACAACACTGGTTTAAGACTCAAAAGATGTTGGCACTATGTAGTGGGGAAATCTTTAGCCAAGTCACAAAACTTTTTAGATCTAAATTTTGATGGGTACATTTATCTTTAAAAAGTTTTGATAAAAGGCTGGTGGTTCAAACCCACGCAATGACTTTGAGGGGAAAAAGAGACCCGGATATCTGTTCCTGTAAAGATTAAAACAAACAAAACACTCTGAGACAATTCTACTCTGTCATGTGGGCTCACTATGACTTAGAACCGACTTGGCCTCTAAGAACAGACAGTGACTACAATAATCTAATCTTAAAATATTCTGTCACTCCTAAAAGGAACCTTGTACTCATTACCAGTCACTTTCTATCTTTGCCTCTCTACAATCCCCAACCATTCTCTGTCCTCTGGTTTGCCTATCCTACCCATTTCATATTAACGGAACAATATGTGGTCTCTTTTGACTGGTTTCTTTCACTTAGCATTTTTCTGAGGTTTATTCATGTTGTAGCATGTATCAGCACTTCATTCAATTATACCATTTTACAGATATGCCATACTTTGCTTAATCATTCATCAGTTGATGGACATTTGAGCTGTTTCTACATTTTGGCTTTGAAAAATAATGTTGCTTAGAATATTTGTATTTAGGTTTTTGTGTAGACACTTCAGGTTTCATTTCCTTATGTAGATACCTGGGAGAAGAATATGCTAATTAAGAGTTTTGGTGTGCTGTGGGCTAACATGTTGGACTGCAAGGTCAGTGGTTCACATTCACCAGCTGCTCCTTGGAAACCCTATACAGGGTTGCTATGGGTTGGAACTGACTCGGTAGCACTTAACAACAACATGCTAATTCTATATATGCTTAACTTTTGAGGACCTGCCAAACTGTTTGTTTTCTAAAGAGGCTGTATATAATGGTTCCAACCTCTTTGAATTCGCACTGACACTTCTTATTTCCTGAGTTTTAAAAAATTATAGTCATTTTGGTGGGTGTACCTATCTTTAGCCTTCACTTTAGATAGGAAAAGGACCTGGTGTCAACCACGGCATTCAATCATTCTAGTTAATGAAAATCGTGCACATAATAATGGGAATGACGTGAACTTCCCCCTGCTTTTAAAAACAGAAATACAAGTGTATGTCTGTCAATGACAAAATCTTTACATTAACAAAATAGATGTCTTTTGGCCAATAAATACACCGTAAAGCTAGAGCGGCTCTCTTGAAAATATAACGTGGGTATTATAAAATTATTATAAGGATCCCTAGTGGCACTGTGGTTAAAGCAGCACCTGACAGCTTGCAGGGAGAATGGCAGTTTGAACCCACCAGATTCTCTTTAAAGATCTGAGGCCTTAGAAATCATCTGATGAGAGTTTTGCTCTACCCTATAGGATCACTCTGGTAGCGTAGTGGTTACGACTCAGGCTGTTAACCTCATGGTCAGCAGTCTCAAACTACCAGAGGTTCCTCAGGAGAAAAGTAAGGCTTTTTGCTCCCATAGATTTATAGCTTTGGAAATCTGCAATGAGTTGAAATCGACTCCATGGCACACCACCACCACAGGACCACTAAAGATATGAAGTTGATTCAATGACAATGGGTTTGGTGTTTTGGGCTTTTTTCATTTACATGGAACATTCTTATTCTACTTTATTCTCATCTGAGTTTATAATACTTTCTCTCCAGTACCTGTCCATCTTATTTATCTTGAAAAAGAAAGCAAAATCCTAAATTAGGCATTGTTTCCACACTTCTAACATGCAAGCCACTGTCCAGCAGGTGTGACACTCTAAGATAAGCACTGGACTGGTAACCTCAAGGTCAGCAGTCTAAACCCACTAGCTGCTCTCAGAAACCCTCTATAGGGTTGCTATGAGTTGGAAATGACTTAACAACACACAATATATAACAACATAAAACATGCCTCACAGGAATTTAACAGTTAAAACATTTGAAATAACAAATGAACTGGTATTACTTAAATTTGCTAAAGCCTTCATATTTGATACAGTTCATAAAGACTGGAACTTTTATAACTGAAAATAGAAATCTTTACTGAATCTATAAATGATAATCACTTCTGTCCAATTATATTTTCTAAACTTGCTCAAGGTAAGCTCACAAACCAAAAAGAAAAATGTTCCTGATGGTAGTTTTAATCACACTGATAGTCATAAATATTTTATCATACCTGGAAGGAACACATCAAAGTTTCATCCACACTCATCATTCCACCAGCATTATCAAACTCGCCACAGTAATTTGGGGCTGAAAACAGGGTAACCAATTGTCGTTTAGCAAAAAATTCATATCCATCTTCAACCACCTGTCACAGGAAATATTAAAAGAAAAACACATTGTAACTTATTATGGCAATTCTCAACCAACCATATTAGATTCATGTGACAAAGTTCTAAAAACCAAAACAAACAAAAAAAAAGCAATTGTGTTTTGGCAACTGTTATTTTGTCTCTTAAACTTTGTTTAGAATCTTAAAATTAATGTACTTATTCTATAATGGCAAGGATTTAACTTATGAAACAATAATAAACTCATTATTATTGAAAGATTTAAAAACCATACCATTTTCAAGGCAACCCATTAAACAAAAACAAAATAAGCTATTAGGTGTGTGTCTGTAGTAAGCTAGGACACAAAAGTATTTCTTCATGATGGCAATAATTTCAAACCACAAAACACTTAGTAGTCCAATGAAAAGCAACCAGATAATAATGAAAGATGAGACTTTTCCCAAAAGCTTCTTGTCTTGCTCAATCTTCCAATTTTCTGTAAGCATTATATAGTCATGCACTAAAAACTTTAGTTTACAGATTGTTGTAGGGACTGTTTAGCATTGTCAAGTTCTGACTCATAATTACCCGACATAGGGTTTTTCCAATGCTGCGCATCTTTGTGGAAGCAGAAAGCCTCATGTTTCTCCTGCAGAGTGGCTGGTGGGCTCAAATTGCCAACCGTGTGGTTGACAGTCCAGTGCTTAGGCTACAGAGTGCTCCCATTGCACAGATTATGCTCCTTAAAATTAGTTGTCAATAGATTATATAACATGATTTGTAGACTTTGTTATTAATTCCAGAAATTTTACACAACTTATTATTGCTCAACTCTATAATTATAATTTGAGAGGTTGCTAGTGACATATGTCATTTTATATTTATTTCTAATATGTAAAATTACTTTTGAAATCTATTTTAGGAATCCTATACAAAGCCGTTTGAACTGCAAGGTTGGTGGTTCAAGCTCACAAGCTGCTCCTTAGAAAACCTACACAGGGTCACAATCGACTCAACAGCACTTAACAACAACAATGGTAAGAGCAAGGAGTTCCTGAGTGGTGCAAATAATGAAAACTTTCGACTGCTAACCAAAAGGTTGGAGGTTCTGGTCCAACCTTGGAAGAAAAGGTCTATTGATGTACTTTGCAAAAACCAGTCATCAAAAATCCTATGGAGTTCTAACTCTGACACACAGTCACTGAATCGAAATAAGCTGCATGACAAGTAATTTTACGAGATAATCATAATTATCCTATGACATTTAAATAAGCAAAATAAGATTTTAGAAAAAAAGACTGCAAATTAAAACACTAAACTTAACTTAGGAAAGACCAGTGAGTGGAGCTCTATATATATTTAAAAAAAACAACGAACAAAAACAGAACTGATGCCAGAAGGTATTTTGGTTAGGAAATTAAGCAATCCTGCCCTGTTATATTAATAAAAGGCTTGTCTTACTATCAAAAGTCACAAAAATAAACATTTACTGATCTAAAGGTTAAAGCAAAGGATTTGGGAACATTACTTGATTTCAACTAAACAACTTAGGAAATCCTGCTAAGGAAGAGGCATGTGATATACAATCTGTGTAGGTAACACGAAGTGTGTCACTGTTATTACACAGGGTCAAGTGTCACAGGGAGTAAGGTGTGTGGCACTGTAGGATAAGTACTGGTTTGTGAGGTGGGTTTGAGGCGGAAGAGTGGTGGTTCAAACTCACTACTAACTAGCTGCTCCTCGGAAATCCTATACTGAGTTACTGTGAGTTGGAACTGACTCAATGGTACTTAACAATAACAACAACACATACTTTAATGAACTTTTAATTAACAGATCAACAATAATAAGGAATCTTTAAAAGTATTATATTTATAAGTTTCTAATATTTTCAAATTAAGTAGAATGTTTAAAAAAGATTCACCATCATTCTCCTTGAAGATCACACAATCTGGTAATGAAGAATATTTAAATAAATAACTAAGCTGTATATAAAACGGAGCTTTCAAAAAGTTCACGGAAAAATGAAATCCCCCCTATCCTCACTCCGTTTCCTTACTAAGGGTGCTGACATTTAAAACACATCTCAAATATGCTATTTTACCTCTACATATTTCAGTATGTATTTGTGAAAAATGCAGATGTTCTTTCTCAATGTAACAATAATGCCACTATCATGGAACAATGATTTCTTGGTACCTAACATCCAAGTTATAAGAAAATCTTCTCAATTGTTACAAAAATGTCTTCGTTCTTATCAAAATCCAAATAAATCCACACAATCCATTTGATTGTTAACTATATGCTATAAGGACTACACTCAAACTGAACCACATGTTGTCCATAAAGTGTCAGAAAAGAATGACAATGCACAAAACATATTGCTTTGAAACATTTCTTCTTATATGGTGAAAACTACTTGCTACCCATCCAACAGACACTTGACTTTTTTGGAAACGAATTGCCTCAAAAATAAAATGAGATGATTAAGAATAAAGTTAACAGATATTAACAAATCTATGAGTTTTATATTTCAAACCTGATGAGCTCGACAAATCAAGTCCAAATCATGACGATTCAGAAATTTACTGACAACATCAGCTCCAAAAGTGAAGGACACACCACGATCATTCTCCCCCCAGCCTTGTACATCCTTATCTGGGTCAGACCACAGCAGATCACAGAGCAAACCTTTAAAAAAATATATATATATGAAAAATAACAATAATAATAAACAAGACAAACTCCCAAATCTATAAAGTATATCTACATCACATTTCAATTATTTTCCTGCCCTCTTATTTTCCCATTTGTGTCTAACAGTAACAAACACTTCTCTGTTCTCTAGTATCCCAGCCTATTAAACATCCTCAATCTTTGTTAAAGCACGGCAAACCTTGAGTATAACAAGATACAAGTAACAGACAGTTCCTTTTGTGTAGTTTTCTCCCTATAGATGATCAACTGATTAAACAGGTTTCCTAAACAGGTCATACTTTCTCTATAACTCTATACTGTTTCTGGGCTATGTGAACCATTCATTAGCTTTTTATTTACCCCTGAGTCAACAACACAGTCTTATTACCCAGTATTTTAAACAAGTTATATCTGGTAGGGCTAGTATTACCACTTAATTTTTTTCCTTTGGGATTATCTTGGTTATTTTTTATCATTTCCTTTTTCATTTAAATGGAATCAGCGTGTCTAATTCCATGAAAAAGCCAGTTGAGATTTCACTGAAATTCCATTTGATCTACACAACAATTTGAAGATGAAAAAAAATTTTCTACTTAGGGCCTTGAGAATTTTAAAAACACAAGAGGAGTTAACAGAATCAAATGAGATCTTTGGCTTTGGGAAAAGTTAGGTCAAGGCTAGAAAGAAACATTTACTGATGAATTGCATCATACTAACAGTAGTAGAAATTTTAAGAGGGACTTGAGGACCCAAAAATGTGCCACTTAAATAGCAAAGTAATTATCTTTCTAAGTAGTAAGGTACTGAAGGAAGGAGATGGGGCAATGAGAAATCAGTACAATGTATTTTTTATAGAATGAGTCCATTTTAAGTTTTATGGGGTTTTTTTTGGGGGGGGGTAACTCATGAACTTTATAAGGAGCTCTGCCACAGTGAGTTACGTAATGGACTGCTAATCACAAGGTCAACAGTTCAAATCCACCAGCTACTCTGCAGGAAAAAGATGAACAACAAAGTGAAATGGCTTACATTACTTAAGTAATGACAGTTTACTAATTATAAAAAGAGCACTAGTTTTTATTACATAAATCAAATGTAGTTTCACTAAAGATAGACACAAAGGGTCAAATATGCCAACATTCTTAAAAAAAAATTAATCAACTTTTCTACATACTTACCTGTATCAGGGACATCAGTAGGTCTCATGATCCTTCGAATCTGCTCCATAGATTGCAGGTCTGGTGACAGTCCTGTAAGTAATAAGACATAGTACTGACATCTAAAAAAATCTTAACACTGGGCCAATAAAAAATTTTTTTAAAAAAAAAATCAAAGTTGATTATTTACTTGAATTGATACTAAAAATGTTCTTTTCAATGTTGTTTTAGAGGTCACTCTGAATTATTATGAATCCCAGATTTACATAATGATTAGGTCACGTATAAATTCAACTGTCATTCCCCCTCTACTGGACCATCATTCACACTGGTTCGTTGTTATTATTAGTTATCATTAAGTCAACTCTGATTCACAGCAACTCTATGTGTAACATAACAAAACAGTGCCATGTCCTAAGCTATCCTCACAAACATTGAGCCCACCGTTACCGATGTCATGTCAATCTAGCTCCTTGAGAGTTTTCTTCTTTTCACTGACCCTTCACTTTACCAAGCACTATGTCTTTTTCATGACTCCTGGTGTGGCGCTGTAGGATAAGGACTGGAGTGCTAAATGAAAGGTTGGTGGTTCAAGTCCACCAGCAGTTTCTCAGAAATGTTCTACAGTTTGCTATAATGTGGAACCAACTCAATAGCACTTAACATGTCCTTTTTGATAACTGGTCCCCTTCCCGATAACACATCCAAAGTACATCAGACATCTAGCTATACTTCTAAAAATATACATATTTGTTCCCTGGTTTATACTGTTGCTAAGTATCGTCGAGTCAGTTCAGATTCAGAGACCCTGTAGGGTTTCCAAGGAGCAGCTGGTGGTTTTGAACTGCCGACCCTGTGGTTCGCAGTCTAATACTGATCCACAGAAGCACACCAGAAGTCCATTTTTTTCCTGGTAGTCCATGGTTTATTCAATCTTCTTCACCAACATGATAATTCAGAGGCATCAATTTTCCTTACTATAGCTCTTACATACTTTTTTCCTTAAATAAACAAACAAGTAAAAAACTTTGATAACATATCTTTTCTCCATTTATCACGATGCTGCTTATGGTCCTGTTGCGTGGATTTTTGTTTTCTTTGAGGTGTAACTCATATTAAATCTGTAGTCTTTGATTTTTAAGTGTTTCAAGTCTCCTTTACTTTAAACAAGCAAGGTGTGTCAGCTGTGATCACAAGGGGCGAATGAGCCTTCCTCCAATTCTGATGCCATGTTCTTCTTAATATAATTCAGCTTCTCATATTATTTGCACAGCATACAGACTGAATAAGTATGGTTAAAGGATACAACCCTAACACATACATTATTTCATGATTTTAAACCATTCAGTAACCAGTTGGTTAGAGGATCATCTCTTGGTACAGGCTCCACATGAGTAAAATTAAGTGTTCAGGAATTCCCTGTCTTTGCACTGTTATCCTTAATTTATTATGATCCACAGTTGAATGCCTTTGCATAATCAATAAAGTACAAGTAAACATCTTTCTGGTATTCTCTGTAGTCAGCCAAGATCTATCTGATATCAGCAATGATATCCCACATTTTATATCCTCTTCTGAATCCAGCTTGAATCTCTGGCAGTTCCCAGTTAATAATACACTGCTGCAACGGTTTTTAAATTATTTTCAGGAAAATTTTACTTGCATGTGGTATTAATGATATTGCTTGAGAATTTCCACATTCTGTTGGCTCACCTTTCTTTGGAATATGCATGAAATCAGATCTCTTCCAGGCAGTAGGTCTTCCAAATTTCTTGGTATATGAGTGAGAACTTCCAGCATTACATCCATTTATTGAAACGCCTTCATTGGTCTTCCATCAATTCTTGGAACCTTGTTTTTCATCAATGCCTTCAGCTTAGTCTGGACTTCTTCCTTCATTATCATCAGTTCTTGATCATATTTATAAAGGATGAGCATCAAAAGTCAATTCCATATTGCTGTATTTTTATTCTTAGCTATACAAATGTGTAAGAGCTACAATTCTTCAAGTATTTAGTATATACTAGAAATTTTGCTTCCACTAAGAGTCCTGGTGTAGTGCTGCAGGATAAGCACTAGAATGCTAACCATAAGGTCATAACCAACACAACCAAGCCATACACTATCCATATATTTTCATGGCATCTAGTTACAAAGAATTCTTATGTGGTACTATAGGATAAACACTAGACTGCTCACCACAGGTCAGTGGTTCAAACCCACCAGCCATTCCTCGGAAACCCTTTATCACATCGCTATGAGTTGGAACCAAAAACAACAGTTAAGTACTAGACATGCCATGTCAAGTTTTCAAATGAACTCTCACATCTTTATATTTATTTCACAGGTCTTAAGGAACAACACCATTTTACTTTCAAAACTAGGTTTAGGATTAAAGCAGACACATTACATAGAGCTTGGAATTCAGCATGTGTTAAAACTTCTAATTGGATTCTAATGAAAAGTATTTACTATAGGATGAAAAAAGTTACATAATAGAGAAAGATAATGATCTTTTTCATTTTTACTAATGGCAGGGGTATCTTTCTGTCAAGACATGGGGCACAGAAAAAGGAAAGATACTTCTTTAAACAAAAGTCTAAGTATCCCTCTTCATATGTGAAACTCTTTAAAGGTAAGTACTGTTTTCATACTTATGAATAAACATAAACTTCTATTTACTAGTTTTAGCTAAGTTTAAAATAGTTTTCATAATTTGAGTTTTCACAAAAAACCTACTTCATTTTCCCATAGAATCTTGATTATCATAGATGTTTTCTAAATATTGGAAGATCAGTAGGAAAAAAAACAGAAAGCAAATTTACTAGTCTACCTCCATGACAACAGAAGATCTTCTCATCCACAATGGCAGCTATAGGCAGACAGTTAAAACAGTCAGTGAAGGTTTTCCACAATTTAATATTGAACCTCCGTTTGCCTGTAAAAAGAGTAACATATAAGTTAAATAAGAATAAACTAGTTATATGTATTACTATATTAATCTACCTATTTATTAATTATGACAAGACTAAATCTAAAAAAATCTAAAACCCTTCTCAATAGTTATCTGAAAGCCACCAGATTATGAATATTTAAAAGAATTTTTCTTTATGCTTATCTAGTAATCCTGGGTTTCCCCTCTGTAATTAATAAGTGTTACTTGCATACTTTAAAAAAGATAAGTAATACAATAAACATTAAGCATAGTCAGTAATGTTTAAAGACTTTCAAAGATTGTGCTAGTGTTTTATGAAACAATTCTGTCTTTTTAGATTACTGTATAGAGCAATTTTGAAATGGCTTAACAGACTTCTTTTTTGGGCACATAACATACACACACACCTTCTATATTTATTTGTCAATTGCTCCCTTCCCCTGGGAAGTAGTTAACAATCTATGATAATCTTTTTTCTTTTGTAGCAACAAGTTAAAAAAAAAAAATTGGCAAAGTGACACTTCCAGAAATAGGGCGGAGGATTGGTTAGCAACAAACATAGAAGGCACGTATTATTTGCAAATGGTACAGTAGGTAAATACCTAGCCAAATAAGCAAGAAGTCAAAGGAGTGCCTCTGGGGATTGTCCATTGACACTAACTTACTAAGTAACACAGTGTGAACTTACTGCCAAAGGAGGACAATCTCCAAGTGTTTTACTGGAATACACTTCTGAATGAATTATAACTTGGCACTAGGGCATGTATAAATAGAGACACAACGGCTGTAATTTTTCTGTACTCTAGCATAAACAGGTACAACAAAAGACAGCCTTAAATGTACATTCACTTTTTTAGAGTTATTTGAATTTCCTGAATCTGGCAATACACTTCAATAACTAACCCAAGAAAGGAATGAGACACAGTACTAACTTCTTATGTTTTTATGCCATAGCTTGCCTTCCAATGAGTAAATTTAACTCAAAGCAGAGTTTATAGGCTGCTCTCACATATATGATTTCAGATGATATGCTTTACCCTTAAGAAGGCTGACTAATTCAAGTGTATTATTCATCCTTTAAGACTGATACCTATTTCTGATGCAGCTTAAAAGGATGATTATAATTTGATATACAACCCACATCTTCTTAACTGGTCTAATTTAAACACTACATATCAGAATAAAAATACAATACACATAAAAAAAGCACACAATCATTCTCGTTAAAGTTACATAAGAATAGAGACCATTTGTTTAATGCACTGTTATATTCCTAGTGTTTAGCATATACCACATCCTCAAATAGTTTTCAAATTATTAGATGGAGCAGGGAAATACTTAAGGGTTTGAATAGGACAATACAAAACAAGAACCCTGTTGTGGTAGGCAGTTTAAACCCATCAGTCACTTTCAGAAACCCTATACAGGGTTGCTATGAGTGAGACATAAAACAAGGGAGCTTTAAAGTTTGTGGAAAATGAAACAAAGATAATGGAATTTCCCCACAATCTTTTTGAAGCCCTTTTGTGTACAAAGATGGACAAAAAGCAAAAGCAGAAAATGGAGTAATTCAGAACTGAAAAGGAGTAAAGTTACTAATTTAATTCAGTATAATTCATTCATTCTAAGTTGTAGTTAACCAAATACATATACTCACTTCTCATATTCTACCTGGCAAACTCCAAAGGCAAGAGGAGACTACTAATCCCATTATCAGTGATTTCTTACTGGTCAAACAGAGTACCACAAAATAGGATACCCCACAGTATGCAATATCCTTGTTTTTTAGGTACTGATTATAATTCTAATAATAAACTTCAACTTTTAAACCATTCCACATGTCTCACTAATTCTTATGGCCAAGTTATGGGTTCCTACTGCATCAGAATTAAAATGGATACTAGAAAACCAGAAGCCACTCTTCACAGTATATCTTGCTTTGTAAATTAATTAAAAGAGGATCCTTTTAGCTCAATAAATTACAGTTGGTGCTAAGTGCTCTGGAGTCTGTTCTGACTCATACCCAACCTGTACAGGATTCCCAAGTAGTGGCTGGTGGGTTTGAAATGCCAAGCTTGTGCTTAGCAGTCCAATGTTTATCCTATAGTGCCATACCATGACTCTGAATAAGCTGCTGTCAACCTGAAATAATAAGACCACCAAAGACATCCCAAGGAGCTATAATTAGTAAAATGCTTCCCAGCTTTAGATTCTTTGTCCAAGTAAGACTCTGTTCCTGGGCCTATGCCTAATAACACTAAACCAATTAGGGAATGTTACCATTCACTTATTTTCTAAGTTTTACATTTACTTACATTCATCATAGAATCCATAAATGCGGTTGATGCTAGCACACTCATGGTTTCCTCTTAAAAGAAAGAAGTTCTCTGGATATTTGATTTTATAAGCTAATAGCAAACAAATGGTTTCCAAAGACTGTTTTCCTCTGTCCACATAATCTCCTAAGAAAAGATAGTTGGCTTCTGGTGGGAAACCTCCATATTCAAATAATCGCAGTAAATCTGTATACTGTCCATGAATATCTCCTAAAAGTAGAAAAAATCGGTTTTAGAACACTTGGTTACTGTGGTGGGTAGCTTTTATGCAATGTTTCCAATGTTCACACCCTGAGTAATTCTCTTCTTTGGGTTGGCTGCATCTAGTGATTTGCTTCTAGAATATGGCAACTGATAGACTGTCACACCCGAGATAAGGTAACAAGACTGTGACTCTGGTACTGCTCTTGCAGGCTTGTTCTGTTGAAGCCAGCTCCCATACTCAGCTGCTCTATTGAGAAGCCCATGTGGTAGCCGACTGAATCCTTCCCTAGATGACCCCAGAGATAACTGCAGCCAGCTGACACTTCAACTGGAGACTTTTTAGAGAACCAGAGGACCCAGCTAAGTTGCACTTGACTCCTGGCCCAGAGAAACTGTGAGATAATAATTTCTTCTAAGTCACAAAGTTATGAGGCAATTTGCCATACAACAACAGATAACCGTTAATGCTTATTCTAATATAAAGTACTTTAATGAAAAGCTTGCCAAGACTTTGAGTCATTTTCTTTTTAACATCACTTATAAGAAACTACCTTTGCTTTAATTAAATTCATAGAGGGGATTGATCTAAAAAACCTAAAACTACTACTTCTTAGAGGTGATACTCTGAGCTGATTTATTCATTCATTCAAATATTTACGCAGCTAATGTCTCATTTGTTGGCCACTGTACCAGAATTAACAAGCACATGCTTGAAGAAATAGGAAGGAAGAGAATAAAAAGTATTAAAGGATTACACTAAGCACACACAGGTTACACAGTGTAAAAGAGATCACCAATAATCATGTAGCAGGGAAAAAAATTGCAAATAACTGTTGGCTGAACAAAAGCTGTTGGAAAATCCATAGAAACTATATTGTAACATTAATAACCATTACAATCCTTTGACTGCTGAGATCAATCAACTTAAGGTCATTTTTGCTTTGGGCCAAAAATCACTATAAGATATAAAAGAACAAATACAAAATGCCAAGTAATATAAGTTTCAAAATAAATGAACGTAACAGTTACAAGACTGACTCCCAAAATTCTGTACCTGTTAAAATAAATTCTCATTCTTGCCAACACTGGAAATCAATCTGACTTTTGTAATTTGATTTCAATTAAGGTCTCATTTTAAACTGCATCTCCCTAAATACTAGTAAAGCTGAGAATTTTGTTTATTGGCCAGTTTCTTTTGAAGTTGTTTTCCCCTATTTTTCTATCATTTTGCCTTTTTATTTCTAAGAACTCTTTATATATTGTGAATAGCAATTTGTGTACACAGCAAATATTTTCTCCTTGTCATTTTAATGATGGCTTCAACCTTTATGCAATAAAACCTATCAATCTTCTCCTTTGTTTCAATTAAAAAAATTTTTTTTTCTAAGTCATCCTTGATGTAAATACAGGAAGAAAAACTTAAGTGAGTCAAAAGAGATAATTTTGAGCTTTATGTCTTTACATACCACAAATCTTCAGTGGTGCTTCCAATTCCAGGAGAATTGGCTGGCTGAGAAAAATCTCCCGAGACTTGATACATAAGCCCCGAACTTCTGCTTCAGTCATCTGCACAATCTTTCCTGGACGACATCCTCGTACTGATAAACAATGAATAAAGCAATCAGTTTCCTGGAATTTAGCCACTTATCCATAGTCCTTAAAAAAGAGTCATATTTTGAAAATCAGAAAAGGCAAAACAGATAACAAACTACCACATGCCTTCCTGTGTCCTGGCTAATGGTAAGGTTCTTCTGTTACTGCTGGTGGTTCCTGAAGATACTTATCAAATTTGCTACCACCAAAGTGCAGCCCTATTTGATCTCCAATGGCCAACACGAGACCTAGGAGCCCAACGGATAAAAAATATTTCACGGGCAGCACCTTTAAGTTTCGGCATAGCAAGTTCTGCTAAGAACCAATGGCTACAATGAAAGGGAGAGTAATAAAGTAGTTGCCAACAGGCGACACTTTCTTCGGATACTATTAGTAGTGCCAAGAATTTTAGCAACCATGACCTCTATTTTCTGAACAAAACAATTATTAAAAAGGTGCTAAATGCTTATATATTTTATTTAATGCATTACTATATTGGTTACGAATCGAGTCGCAAACTGCAAGGTCAGCAGTTCGAAACTACCAGCTGTTCTGCAGGAGAAAGATGAGGCTTTCTGTTCCCGTAAAGATTTACAGCCCCAGAAACCCTGTATAGGGTTGCTATGTAAGTCAGAACCGACTCCACAGCACATAACCACCACCACCATATACATAATGGGGCACTGTATAAATAAGTCTAAAGGCTATGTAGCTAGAATAAACCCTTTGAACAGGAATGAGCTGTAAAATGGATAAAATTATGTGGTTCTCCAGTCACTTCCAGGTTAGAGTGAGGTGGGGTTTCTGAGGCTGTAAATCTTTACAGGAACAAATAGCCTCACCTTTCCTCCTTGGAGCGAGTGGTGGGTTCAAACTGATCTTGAAGTCAGCAGCCCAAATCGTAACCCATTCATTATACCACCAAGGTTCCTAAAATATACTGCTAGCCTCTGTTTAACCTTACCTAAAGGGCACTGAAAAAACAAAGACCGTATTGCTATATATACCCTTGTTGTTGCTGTCAACTGCTGTTCAGTCAGTTCCAACTCATAGTGGCATAGCGTATAGGTTTTCCAAGCAGCAGCTGGTGAGTTTGAAGTGCCAATCTTGTGCTCCAGTGGTTTATCCCATATCATTACACCAGGATTCCACGTATCCTTACGACTTCCTATTTCTAAGCTTACAATGAGATCATACATTTCTTGCTCAAAATTGTTATGATTTGACAGGTCTGTCAAACAGGTGTTAAAGGAAAAAAAAAAAAATAGTCGGGTCCCCACATGCAAAAGTGAATCCATCTATACAACCCAATGATGTAAATCCCTCAAATATTCATCACCAGTCTTTTATATCTGAAACAAAGTTATCTGCTTGCAATAACCCATCAATCTCCTTAAAATTATCTTTTAAGAAAAATGAAAAGCATTAAGTTTTGAATAATTGCTAATTTGCCTAACTATACTCCTGATAAAGGAGCTGTGGCAGCATAGTGGTTACGAATCGGGCTGCGAACCACAAGGTCAGCAGTTTGAAACAACCAGCTGTTCCGTGGGAGAAAGATGAGGCGTTCTGCTCCCGTAAAGATTTACAGCCTCGGAAACCCTGTACAGGGTCGCTATGAGTCGGAACCGACTCCTCAACACATAACAACAACAACATACTCCTGATGTGGCGCTGTAGGATCAGCACTGGACAGCGGAACAAGGTTGGCAGTTCAAACCCACCAGATGCTCCTCAGAAACCCTCTAGTTTCGCTATGAGTCAGAACGGACTAGCGACCAGCATTTAATTAACACTTATAACCAAGGAGCCCTGGTGACGCAATGGTTTAAGAGCTTGACTGCTAACCAAGCTAAAGATTCATGGTTGGAGGTCATCAGTTGCTCTGCAGGGTAAAGATGTGATTGGTCTACTCTGTCCTATAGGGTTGCTATGAGTTGAAATCAACTGGCTGGCAGTGTTTGGTTTATACACATTATAACCAGGGCTTCAAAATGGTTCATTGTGTTCTCTGGGGATCTTACTAAAATGGTGATTCCAATTCAGTATATCTGGGATAGAAATACCAATTCTCAGTCACATGGGATAAATCCGGCTAAATAAAAGCTGTTGGAAGTAACAAAGAGGAGGTAGAGAAAATGTGCTAAATTAGTAAGTTAATGGCAGTCAGCTAATAAGTCCACCCTTGAAATTCAAAAGCATAATGATCAACAAAATTGCTTTTGTTGTGAGAACTTAAAACATCCCTTTCTAAATTAGTATTAGTTCTCCAACATCAATTACCTATACTGAAGCACATTTTGATTTTCCCAAGATCAAAAAGTACCAAAACATATTCAGCTGCCTTGGAGTCAATTCAGATTTATGGCAAGCCCAAGTTGTGTCAGAATAGATGTGTGCTCTTTCAATTTCTCAAAAGCAGATGATCGCCAAACCTTTCTTTTCAGGTGCCTCTAGTTGGATTCAAACGTCCACCGTTTCAGTTAGTATTGGAGCATGCTAACCTTTTGTACTACCTAAGGTCTCTGTCTTTACATTTTTATTAAGCATATGGAATGCTAACTTAGTTCAATTTTCCTATAATAAGAACAATTCTTCACCTTGACATCACAGTTTTAAACTTGGAAAATGACTAAAAAGTATTCTCCCATCAATGAGTCAAAGGCCTCTCAGTTTTAGTTTACAAGAACCAGTTTTAGTTTGAAGGACTAAAGATCTTTGGTTGCTTTCAAAGGACAATAAACAGCTGACTTTGATTATTCAGGAAATGTTTTCATTCATTTCAACAAATATTTAAGAAGTTACAATATTAGTGGTTCATTAGTGCTGATGGATATGATAAAACATTATGGCTCTATAAGACTTTCCATAATTTCTGTTTGTGATCCTTAAGTAACAAAACAGTACTTGCTAAGTGCTGTCAAGTCGGTTCTAATTCATTGCGATTCTGTACAGGGTTTTCGTTTCTTAAGTTTGAATCACCCACCTGGAGGTTCAAATACACCAAGTGCTTATCCTACAGTGCCACACCATTCACTGTAATTAGATAGCTTGTTGTTGTTAAGTGTCAGTGAGTCAGTTTTGACTTATAGTGACCCCGGTAGTATTTCCAACAGTGTGGGTGACTTTAACATGTGAAACTGAAGCTTTCAATGTATACAACGATAAATATTTACCCCATATGTGTTTTGTAGTCTTCTGTAAATTACACGTCTGGTTAATTCTGGCTTCCCAAATGAATAATTTAGGTTATACTGAGATACACTTTGACGACATTTCTACAGAGCTACAAAATGCTTCAACTTATAAGTCATACTAAAAATACAAAAAAATTAAATCATACTGTAGAAAAACAACCTGTATGAATTTCATTGTTCTAAGATGCACATTTCCCAATGAAAATCTCTGAAGCTAAAAGATAACTCGCAATCAATAGTTTCCTACAATTTTAACTGGCAGTATTTCCCTCATCGTTGTTCGTAAGTGCCATCTAGTCAATTGCAACTCATAGTGACGTTATATAGGGTTTCCGAGGAGCAGCTGATGGGTTTGAACCACCAACCTTGTGGTTCACAGTCCACTGCTTAACCCACACCAGGAATCCATTTCCCTTTAGTGGCACAAGAAATAATGGTACATTTCATAATCAAATGACATTTTAAACAGTTTATTAAATGTATTCAAAGAAGCAAAAAGTTCTTGCAAATGTTAATAAACCTTTGGCAAATCTTAGGAATGAGTTAGCTAGATGTTTGGGATAACAGGATAGACAAATCCTTTACAGTTTTAAGCTCTCCCATCTCATTCTCCAGTCCATTTGGAATTAATTTTGTGCATGTTGTTAAGTGTCGCTGGGTTAGTTCTGACTCATAGCAATTCTGTTGAGGACCCACTGGTGATGTGAACTGCTGACCTTGCAGTCAGCAGTCCAGTGCTTATCTTATAGCGCTACATGGAAATCTAAAATCAATTTGACAACAACTGGTTTATCTAACTGATGCATCATTTATTGTAAAACCATTCTTTCCCTGTAATGTTTTGTAGAAAACCAGATGACAATATACAAGTTGGTCTCAATCTGGACTCTGTATTGTATTTCCTTACTCAATGGGTCTATTTTTACATCAAATATTTTTATGTAAATAAACTTTTTTTTTTTACCACCAAAATTGCTGTCGCTTTTTATTATGTCTTTGTATCTGCTAGGGTAAGCACTCCAATTTTGTTAAGACTGCCTTGGCTAATGAATTCTAAGCCCTTGCATTTTCAAATGTCTTAAAATTGGCTAGTCTAAACACACACGCACATATACACAACTAGCATTTTAATTTTGAATTTTCAACTCATGATCTCTCCTTTTATTCAGTTGTCATTAATTTCTCTCAGAAATGTTTTTAGTATGACACATTTTTTCGTCAAAATGTTTGGTAGGGCCTGCTTATGGTGGTTTCTTTTTCAAGTTTATATTGTGAATTGAGAGTTTACACAGGAGAATACCAGCTTTACACTTATCTTGTCGTATTTTGTTTCATTGTAATGATTACAATCCCCTCCATGCATCATCATTCATTCAACAGTATTTGTTTCTATTCCTTCTGTTTATTATTTTTTTAATGTACACCCCAAAACACTCAGGAATATACAATCATTCAAACACCTAAAGGGCATACCCTGCAAGCCTGCCCCCAGGCCACCAGTACACAGCCCCTCTCCCTCCAAGAGTCTAGAGTCCCCAGCCCCTCCATCTCTCCTTGTCATTATCTCTGCCTCCATCTTTGGTGTCTCTGCTTCTCTGAATGGAGTCCCACACTCCGCTCCCACTTTTCTCCCTTAATGGTCCCAGCGTCCTCCACTCCGGGACTGCAAAATCAACCACTACCTTCTTTTTGTTAGGAAACCTCTACCTTTACAGTTGGCAACAATCACAATCAGTCATAACAATTACTCTCTAGTGAACCACAAGAATCTTAGCCCCATCTCCTTTTACCAGCCCCGTCTAGACAGG